GTGTAAGTAGACAATAAATTAGAGTAAATTTTTCATTCTTGGCGAAAATGCCAGAGAGTGCTGGCTAATAAACAGGAAGAAAACAACATTTTTCGGTCTATAAATAAACTTAACTATAATCTGATATATCAGAAGTGTGCGCTTCTGATCTGTGGAGGATCATTTGCGAAGACTTAAAAAGTCCTAAGACATCTCAAATTTTTCAGGCTGTTTACAGTTTAGTTGAGACCGCAGAGAGATAAAACTTAAAGTTTCCTTTACAGTGAATTTCAAAGGAAATTTGGCTTGAAGGGGGAGGTAAGCTTTTATTCGTCTACCTAACAGTGGATCGATAGGTTCGTTGCATTCTTTCCAGATCATATCATGGGAGTTGCATAGGTGCTTTGCTTCGATATATCAAATTGTTCGAAATCTACCGTTTAGTCAAGGAACAGTACGAGCATCTACTTTGGCCAATTTGCTAGTGAAGAATTAAATGTAGTACGGCATGCATACGCGAAAAGGAAATGCAAAGAATAACATAAGTATTTCAATATTAGGAACGAATGTCTTCATTATCGCTCCATCTAACAGATGACATTTCTGTTGTAGGAAGTGTTTGTGGTAAAAATTACAAAATGTTTCGCTTACTTGGCACAACATGCAAGACATACTACGCGCGGCCGGTTTCTTCACAATCTATGCATATTTGCTTGGGTCTTGTAATGCGTAGAAGAGAAATTTCTAGCTTACGCTCTTGTTAACCTAATAAGGGTTTAAAAGTATTTTTTGTGCTTTTTTTTTTTTTTCTATATTTCTGGCGCTTACGAACGAGACGATGTATAAAGGAAAGAAAGTTCGGTTTAGATTTAAAATGAATTGCATCCTGTAAAGAGTTTTCTAATATCTTCTTGAAATGTTGGGCTTGTTTTTGTCAGTCAATTAACTTACAAAATATATTTTCGTTTTCGTATTCCGTTCCTTTAAAAAATCCTAGCTATTCTAACTGTCAGGGGCATAACTCACGAATTTATATGAAAAAGAAAGTTTTTTTTTTTCTTTTTTTTTTTTTTCGTTGCTTAAAAGAATGCGAGAGTTGAGATATGAATAAAAATTTTACGAAAACAAAATTTAAAAAAATTATTCATTTAACGTAAATTAATGCAGAAAAAACCAACAAAAAAACAAGAAAAAAATTAAAATTAAAAAAAAAAAAAAAAAGATAAATAAATAAATAATAATAATCACCTGAAGGATTTAAAGACGGTGACGAGGATGATGATGGTGAGGAAGAACTGGCGCCACCAGACTTCCTCTTGCAAGTGGGATAACTGCCGCAATCTTTGCCATCGCGTTGATTATAACTGCACGAATCCGATGTAATGACGCACTCCTCGTTGGGCAAACAGCCAATATCGTTGCAGTTACGCCCATATTCTGGTATAATATACCAGCGGTAGTTTGTTACGCCGCAATGAAAATGTTGTTTGTTCATTTGTTTGTCACATTGTTATAAAAGCAGAATTATTAAGTGGCAACATACAAGAGGAGGACAGTATTTTGTTGGTTTCGTTTTTTTTTTTTTTATTTTTATTTATTTTTTTATTTTTTTTTTTTTAATATATTGCAGAGTAAACCGATAATATTTGTATATTTGTATAGGGGGGGAAAAAAATAAAAACAAAAAAAAAAAAAACAAAAATAGGGAGAGAAAAGAAGAAGAAATAAAATAATAAATTAAAATCATATAAAAACTAAAGATGAAAATTTATTGTTTTTATGTCTACATGATGATGATGATTGTAAACAACATTTATTATAATTGGAAGAAAGAGTTTTAAGAGAGGAGAAGGGCTCGTTTTTTCTTCAATTATATTAATAGTAATAAGACATGTGCTCAATTAATTGTTTTATACAAACGAAGAAAAAAAAAAAAAAAGAAAAAAAAAAAACGTAAGAAAATGAAAAAATTAAACACTAATTAAAATTCAGAAAAATAATTAAAGGAATTGATAAACGTGTTTAGCAAACCACTTTGACGGACGGTAGTTTTTTTTTTTCATCATTATTATTATTATTATTTTTTTTTTTTTATTTAATTTTTTTTTTTTAATATATTTCTTTTTCTTTTCGTATTTAAATTCGTGTGGGTAAGAACGATAAATAACAATAATAACCAAGGAAATCAAAAGAATTTTCGGTTCGAATTTTCAACAATAACAACAACATATGCTTTGTAAGCATTTCCTTGCCATCGGTTACATACTTGAATAAGAGTTGACGCTGGTGACAGCGCATAATAGAATTATTCCGCAGGCTAACATGCCTACGCTGCCCATTTTCCATAACATGCTGACGCTTACTCTAATGCCTTTCTTCTCAATCCTTGTATGCGTTAGATGGTTTGTGTTTTTGTCTTCGTTAAACAGCCGTTTCCTTGAGTTATTACAGCGGTTATACAAAGTTAAACGTTGCTCTGTAAATAGATTGAAGAGAAAAAGAGAAAAAATAAATAAAAAAA